TATGGACAGTTTCAGTGATTTTGGCAAGATCATTGCAGTGGAGTCCTAGAGATTGAAGCCAGAATGGAGTGGGTCAAGACTGAATGGATTCAATGCAATTCCAGTAAAAATCCAAATAGATTATTTCTTAAAAATTGACAAACGGATTCTAAAAAGCATATAGAAAAGCAAAGGGCCAAGAATGGCCAAATTACTCTTCAAGACCAAAGGAGTTTTTTCGTATCAGGACATGTGAAAATTCAAAAGTAGTTATGGAACATTGATATATGGCCTTGCATAGCCATGCATGGATGATTATTCAATAAATGGAATAATTGATCATCCATATGGGAAGAGTAAAATTCAATCCCTATGCCGTACCATTCTGAAATATGAATTTATAGATGGATTGAGAATGTAATATAAATGGCACAATTTAAAAACTTTTAGGAGAAAATTTTATAACCTCAAAGTAGAGAAGAATTTCTTAAATCAGAGACATAAAGTTTTAACCATTAAAGAAAAGTCTGATAAATTTGACCAAATTAAAATTAAGAACATCTGTTTCTTAATAGACACTATTACGAAAATTAAAACTCATACCACAAACTAAGATAGAAAGGGATGTTTGCCAGAACTATAACTAATAGGATTCGAATCCAGAATATCTACAGATCTCCTACCAATCAATATCAAAAGACAAGTGACTTGATAGAAAAGGCAAAAGATATACAAAGGAATTTCACAGAAGAGAAATCCCTATTGGCAAATAGACACATGAAAAAATGTTTGACTTTCTTCATACTTAAGAAAATGGAAATTAAGATGATAATGGGATAACATTTTGCATTCACTAAACTGATAAATTAAGAAATCAGAAAATACTGGGTGGTGGAAAGAATGTAGTCAACAGAAACTCCTAAAACTACTTCTGAGAATTCGAACTGGTGTAACTAACTTAGAAAACTTTGCATTATCTTAGAAAATGAAACAATCATATAGCCTATAGCCCAGCAGTTCCACGCAGATATAAACCCTAATGAGAAGGATGCCATGTTCATGACCTCAATGATCCTAAGAGTAAGAACAAGAAAAGACACAAGTATCCATTGACCAGAAAATGGATTAACAAATTACAGAATATTCTCACAATTTATTACATGTAAATGTAAGTGAATGCCCTGCAGCTACATGAAATAATATGGAAAATTCAAGTTCCACACATAGAGTCTACCATTTTGTAAAGCTCATAAACAAGAAAACCATTCATTATATTGTTTGGGGATTCACTATCCAAGACCCATCAGAAGGTGTCATCGTGGCCCCAAGCTAATACCAGGCTTCTCCATGGAGCAGTTTGAACAGGCTGGAGTTGGGAAATTGAGGAATAGACTTTTTGTTCTGGGACTTAAGAGTTAAATGTCTCAGGAAGTTCACACACACACACACACACACACACACACCCTGCCCAGCCCGGCCCAGATCTGACCCAGACGTGGGGGGTGAGGAATGAACACAGCAAGAACGCTGGAATCTGCCATTACGGTTTGGTTCCTCCTCTGCTGGAAAAGGCTTTTCTTTTGTCCTGTGGAACAGAAACTTGCCTTATATCCTATCCTGTGTATTCCTACTCTATGCCTCCTTAGAATAAATTCTGCTTTCTTGGCTCTTGATAAAGCTTTTAGAGTTTTGAGTCTGTCTTTTTTGGTTTCAAAAAGCCATACTCTTGCAAATCAAAAGGGCTTGTCCTCAGGCTATTTTATTTCCTTAGGGACTTAAAAAAACTATTCTGAAATTCAGAAATGTAGGCAATGACCCATTTGTTCTGTGCTATATCAAGTACTCTCCCCTTCCCTAAAACAAAAAGCCTCAGATTCAAGGTTATTCTTTTTTTTTTTTTTTTTAATATTTTTATTTTATTTCTAGGATAGAGAGAGACAGCGTGAGCAGGGGAGGGTCAGAGAGAGAGGGAGACACAGACTCTGAAACAGGCTCCAGGCTCTGAGCTGGCAGTCAGCACAGAGCCCGACACAGGGCTCGAACCCACGAACCGCGAGATCATGACCTAAGCGAAAGTCGGATGCTCAACCGACTAAGCCACCCAGGCGCCCCTATTCAAGGTTATTCTTAATGACTATGAGGGTTAAAACAACAATAACAACAACAGCAAACCTGAATGACTGAAAGGGAAAAAATATAGCAAGAGATATTTTAAAAATATTTTCCTGCTTTGCTCTTTCGCATGGGATTTCCTGCCCTTTAGGCCACATAGCCCCTTTCAATCACTCCAGTTGCACTGCTCACTACATTCCCAATGCATTTTACATTCCAACGGCAATGGCTGTCTGTACTTGTAATTCCCAAGAACACCAAGCCATTTGATGGCATCATGCCTTGGCACATGTGGTTTCTTTCTGCCTGCAATGCCCTCCATATAAACTGGCTTCCTCACTTTATAAGATCTCAACCCTTAAACCTGAGATTAAGCTATTTTCTGTCAGCTCCAAATCTACCTTTCTCTTCTCTGTTGGGGTTGAAATTACACAAACCCCCTTTTTCTTTTGTCAGCTGAATTCCTTTTAGTTTCAACAATAGGGGGTGCTAACGGGAACCAGAAGGCATGAGGAAGTTGAATAGACCTGTACTTTCCTACTTGCTTGCTTTTCTTATGCGGTCACCCAGCAATGAGCCTTTGTCCTGACAATGGCAGTTAGTTTCAGGCTCCAGTTTCTTCTGACATTACCAGAACCAGCTTCATCCTACCTTCCTTAGTCCCACTTTCCTTAGAAACACCGGTTGCCCTGTGTCCCTTCTTCTGAGGGCCAGGTCCCCTCTCTGTGTCATCCATCGCTAAGCTTCTGAACCTGATAACCCCAGTGTCGTCTTTGTTTGTTCAGACCTAGGAGGTGGTTGTTGCTTCCTGAAGTTACTATGTCTATGAAACCTATGTGTTCCCCTTTTGTATTTTCAGTTCTCTCTAAGACCTGGTTACCTAATTCCCTATATTAAATTTTCTCTCTTGACCTACATGTGTTGTTTGTGTTGTTTTGTTTTCCAGACTGATTGTCCTCAGTTAAGTGATGGGTAGCAGAATATGCCACCCCAAAATATTTGACGTAAAGATTATTTTGAGCTGAAGGCAACCGAGAAAAAACAGGGGAAAAGATCCCCACCCTCCCCCTATTTGCCTAAAAGCAAGATACAGATTTGTTAGAGTGTCCCCGCTGCCCCTCTCTACTAGGAAGGACAGAAGTTAATCACCCAGAAGAATCTACATAACAAACTTTTCTACCTATCCTTTCTCATCTGTTAGTTCCCCATGTATTTACCTTCCCACAGTTTACCAGCCAGAAACTCAGTCCTTTTCCTTTGTCTTGTCACTTTCTTAAAAGGCTATTGTGCTTTGGATAAACAAAATATGGTGTAGTTATTACAGTGGAATATTATTTCACCACAAAAAGCACTGAAGTACTGATACATGCTATAACATGGATGGATTTTGAAAACATCACGCTAAGTTAAAGAAACCAGACAAAAAGACCACATGTTGTACGATCCCATTTCTATGAAATGTCCAGAATAGGCAAATTCCTAGAGTCAGGAAGCAGATTAATGATTGCCAGGGGTGAGGGGACAGTGGGATGGCAGTGAATGCTGGAGTGTATGTTGTTTCTTTTTGAGGTGACAGCAATGGTTGCACAGCTCTGCAGATATACTAAAAACCATTGAATGATACACTTTAAAAGGTTTGACTTTATCATGTGAATTATATCTCAATAAAGGTGATATCATTTTTTTAAAATTATGTGCTTTTGTTAAAAATTCTATGAAGGCCAAGTTCTAACCACCCCCTTTGAGTTATTCATCACTGAGTACTCCTGTGCACATGGGCAATACATGCACTAATAAAATCTTTTCTCTTAATCTAATTTACAGAACATCAGCCAATAAACCTAAATGGGTAGAGGGAAGACAGGTTTTCCTCCCTACATAGGACTCTGGGGACCATTTCATCCACTCCCTCCTCATAAAAGCATTTATTTTTGTGCTTCCATAGCACCTTGTAGATGGCTCCTTTGAAGTGCTGCTAATCACAGTATTACAATGATTTTCCTATATGAGACTGTCCCACCTCTAAGGTTGTTAGCCTCTCAGAGGTAGAGATCATTTTTTATTCATCTTTATAGTACCTGAGTTTATCACAATGAATACACTCAATAAGTGATCCTCAAATTAACAAATAATCAAGTGAATGAATGAATACATGAATACATGACTATAGTAGCATGTATTTTATCCTGTTAAAACTTACAATAACACCTCTTTATCTACAGAATAAATCCAAGGCCTCCTCAATCTGGCCCATGTCTTCCTCTCTGGCTCCCCCCTCCACCTCATCCCCACCCCCATCTTCCCAGCCATACTGAATGGCTTATAGCTCCCAAAACGTGCATCTAGCCCTCCATCTTCGCAGTCCTTTCTTTTTGAAATGCTTATCTGTGTCTGATTCCTCTACTACTAAGCTATTTGAGGTACTCCTTTATTTCCACTGTCCAGGAGAGTTTTAGAATACAGTAGACAGTCAATGCATAATAATTAAATATGTCCATATTTCTGTAGCTTCCCTAATTGTCAACTTGGACTTTTGCACAATACTTTATGTAGGTTATATGCCATGATTTACTTAATCACTACTTTATTATTGGATATTAAGATCGTTTCCAAGGTTCATTATTACAAGTAATGCAGAGAGCACTTTTTTGAGGAAAGAGATTGTTTTCTTGTAAAGATAGCTATTTTTTTCTTAGACAAAGGTAGAATATGAGTTAGTAAAAAAAAAAAAGGAGTTTTCATTTTTCTCAGCTGGCTTCAGTGATCATGGGCCTGAGTTCTAGGAGATGGTTTTGGGGTCATCATGTCTTTAGAAATAATTTGACTCACAATAATTTTAAATATTTCCTAATGACTTGCAAATCAAAATGTCAGTATCCAAGTACTCCATACCCAGTAGACCAGCATACCTGAAACTTCATTGTCTCCAGCTTCTCTTTGGCAATACAGAGGCAGGAAGCAAATAGGTGGCATTTGATGGGCTGGTTGGTGTTTGAGGAACAGAATAATAGATAATTAGCTCATTGATGAAATTAAAATCAACTGAAACCACCACCATTGAATCATACCAAAGTTCTTTTCATTCTCTTTATCTGTTAAATGTCTTAGAAATAAAGAATTCCCTTGATACACAAAACAGAAACACTCATGAAAATCTAAGTACGAGTCCCTTCTACTGAACTTTGTTTTCCTAATTGGTTTTACATTTTGTAATTGTGGCTGTGTCTCCAACTATAACCTGAATTCAAATCAGATCCTTTCCTAAGCTATGTCAGACCACTGTAGTCTCAAGTATGTTGAGAATTTCCAACTTAAAGACGAGAGAGGTAGACAGAAAAGAGATTAAAGGGAAAGTGATGTGAACCTAAAAGTGACTTGCCTTCTGCCTTTAGTATGGTCAGTTTCCATGCCAAAAGCTGGACTTGTATCCTCATTTATAAATTGGGTAGAAGATACTCAAAGCCTTCTCTAACTCTGAATTTCTATGACCTTTTGTGGTTTCATTCTGATATGTGCAGAAACCTCAACTAAACCCAAATTCGTTTTTGGTTTCCCTGAATCTCAAGAACAAACAGCGGAGCCTAACTCCCTTGCAGGTGTAACTCATCTTGCATCCCCCTATCCAGATTTAAAATTAAAAAAATAGCCCAAAGAATGTAACTGCTGTGACTCCTCAGGAAATCTTTCTCTACTTCATTCATTATGATTTGTATGTTCTCTTTCCTCCAAATCTATGTGGAATCTGACTTGAACTCACTTTGCACTCTTTGGTGACGTAGAAATCTGAAATAAATCTCTTACACCCCGCAAAAGACAACTGTACCCAATTTAGCTGATCCACAGACCTAATCAGGAGAAATCTAACGGAAATGAATGGCTCCTCCTTACAACTTATCCAGACTGTTTTTAAGTTTATATTGTTGCTTTTTAACTTACAGTTAAAGAAGATCCACTTCAATTTGCAGAAGTTGCTCTGGGCCATCCCACATTCCTCAGGCTTAGTTTGCAGATAATAAAAGACCACTTGTCTCCTCTGCTCCTTCAGGTTTACCCATAATTTATCAGAAGAAAAGACATCATACAGCTCCGCGTTTCATTTTCTTCAGCCAGGCAGTTCCTCCAATTTCCTCTCCAAAAGAACATGCAGCTGTTTATAAAATGCCTCTATTTAGAAGTCCTCCTTAGGAGGCAAAAGGAAACCTCAGGCTTCTATGGTGTTCCGGCATTTTGCATCTTTGCTTTTAGATAACAAGTGATAACAAGTGAGTAAAAAGAATAAATAATATATTACTGTTTGCGAGGGGGAATAAAAGAGCAAAATCAATGTTTCCACCCCTACCAAGAAGGATGACTTCTCACCACGGGCCTCTGCTTAGGAAAGGTGTTGTTCAAAAAGCAACCAGCCCTCTTTACTGCCAGCTCATTAGCTAGAAGCCAGGACTGCCACAGTCCTGTTTAGCTATCTGGGGAGCACTGTTTTCAAGGTGAGGTGGAAGTCACTAATTAGGGAAGCCTGTATTTGGCCATCTCAGCTTTTAGAAGTGATGCTAGACGTTCAAAGTGATGAGATTCAAACGGGAAAGTTCAGCAAGCACAGCTGTTTACTATTAGGGGGAAGGCAGATTTGCCCCATATTTTTCTCCTTTGGATGAATTTAAGTGGTCAATGTTTTGCAATGTTCAACTGGTGTGACAGTAAGTGGTGACATAATGCAACGTATATTTTAAATACAAGCTAGAATTCTTCATTTAATTAGAATGCTGTAAAATGAGTACGACGTTCGTGTATCATAATTATAGCCTCAGATTAGTAACGGGCAGCATTTCACTCCTTTGTATTCACATTCAATCAATAGTACCTTTAATAGTCCATACACTTTTATTGAACCCCTTTTCTCTGCTAATCTGATTCTGATTTAGAATCTTTTTTTTTTAATTTTTTTTTTTTAAATGTTTTATTTATTTCTAGGAGAGAGAGAGACAGACAGCGTGAACAGGGGAGGGTCAGAGAGAGAGGGAGTCACAGACTGAAATAGGCTCCAGGCTCTGAGCTGGCAGTCAGCACAGAGCCCGACGCGGGGCTCGAACCCACGAACCGCGAGATCATGACCTAAGCGAAAGTCTGACGCTTAACCGACCAAGCCACCCAGGCGCCCCTAGAATCTTAATTCAGGCCCCGTTTACTACATTATTTTTAATGCAGACATTAGAACTAAAATATTACTAATTTAGTCATGTCCTGAGTCAGTGATCTAACATTCTGTAGGCTGGCAGAAAAGAAAATTGCCCTGGCAACTTACACGATTTCAGTAAAAGAAAGAGTCTTAGTTCTAGAGATACAGCCCTGAGCAAGAGACAATCCCGCTCACATGGAGGGGTCTTTCTACAGGGGAAGCAAACAATAAACAGGTAATTTAAAAAGTAGTTAAAACAATTTTTTAAATGTTTTTTAAGTTTATTTCTGAGAGAGAGAGAGAGAGAGAGAGAGAGAGAGAGAGAGCATGAACAGGGGATGGTCAGAGATAGAAGGAGACACAGAATCCGAAGCAGGGTCCGAGCTGGCTGTCAGCAAAGAGCCTGACACGGGGCTCGAACCCAGGAACCGTGAGATCATGACCTGAGCCAAAGTCGGACGCTTAACCGACTGAGCCACCCAGGTGTCCCTGAAACAATTTTTTGTTTTAACGTTTATTTATTTTTGAAGGAGAGAGCGACAGAGCATGAGCAGGGGAGGGGCAGAGAGAGATGGAGACACAGAATCTGAAGCAGACTCCAGGCTCTGATCTGTCAGCACAGAGCCCAACGCGGGACTTGAACCCACGAGCTGTGGGATCATGACCTGAGCTGAACTCAGACGCTTAACCAACTGAGCCACCCAGGTGCCCCTGAAAAAGTAATGTTAGATAATTATAAGTGTTATTTAAAAAACTGAAATAGGATGCGTGTTAGGGAATGACCAGTAAAATAAAGGCTAACTACTTTAGAGTAGTCATGGCAGAACCACGGAGGAGGTAACGTGTAAACTGAGACCTGAGTGAGGAAGTCCCATCCCTGGAAAGTCTGGGGGAGAATCTGAGGAGTATCCAGAGAAGCCCAAGGGAAAGGCTTGGCATGTTCAAGGAATAGGAAGAAGGGTAATGTGACTGCAGGGCTGTGGCTTAACAGAGATAGAGGAAATGAAGTCGTATAGGTAGGTAGGGGCTGCATAATGCAAGTCCTTTAGACCATGGTGAAGTAAAACTGGAAACCATTTAAAGATTTCAGACAATATATTAATATTATTTGTGTTTTAAAGTTATTGCTCTGGCTGCTTTACAGGAAAAAGATGAAAGCAAGGAGGCCAGCTTAGAGTAGTTGAGGCAAGAGACTGGTGGCTTCATACCAGCAGTGACATGAAATAAAGTGGATGGATTTGAGATGCTCTGGAGGCAGAGCCTCCAACATGCTGAAGACTTAGATATGGGGCAAGGGAAGGGTGGGAAACCAGTTAAGTGCTAAGGTTTGAATAACAGAGTGAATGGTAGCATCGTGAGATGGGGAACTGGATTCAGGTGGAGGGTAGGAATAGGTTCGAGGTGAAGGTAGGGAGCGAGAACTCTTTGTAGCCCTTTTATATGGAAGATTTCTGTTGGACATTGGACTGGAGGCATGAGAGCCAGGGAGATAAAAGTGTTTTATTTCATGTGAAATAATATACATGATCAGCATGTGAAAAATATGTAACGCCATGGGAGGAGAGAAAAGTAGGAAGCCCAGGACCAGGCCAGGATGCACTCTAACATTCGAGGGTCAGGGCAGCGTGTCATGAAAACAGAGATAGTACCTAACATGATGTAAAGGGAGTCAAAACACTGGACGTGAAGTACATTAGAGAAAGAATCTAAGGTGGCATAAACATGCTGAAAACTGCAGCACTCTGATATGTCAGCTTTCCTCTGTGGTGAAAATAAAGATGAAAAGCATTTCATCTGAGTTAGCAAATATTATGGAAAAGTAAATGAAGATCTTTATTCCATGAGGGTATTTATAACAAGTGACTGTCTCTGCATCACTGACACCTTTGTAAGCAGTTCTTCGGGAACTGTGACTTGTCTCACCGGTGGGGGGGGGGGGGTTGCTCTGTATCCTGGGACAAATTTGGGGGAATATACAGCACACCTGTGTTTATTCATGATGTAGAGAGTCCTGTTTGGTAATACCGAGTCATTTCCCCTTAGCTTCTAGAATTTAAAGATGGGGTGGGGATCTTACATCTGTGTGTAAAATCTCTGGGTTAGTTCTATGGAGGTGATGGCCCAATCTAGTCAGTTCTTAGTAACCAAGCCCTTAGGAGTCTTCTAGGGACTGCTCTCATGTTAACATGATAGGCGAGCCATGCCAACACCAACCAGGACAGAGTCCAGTGGCTCCGGAGATGACCATGGGCTTTGGATCCAGGCCCATCTACATTCAAATCCCAGCTCTGCCATGTTCTGCCTGTGTGCCCTGAGACGGGTTACCCAAGTCTCCACATCCCAGTTTCTTCATCTATAAGATGATGACAACACTTCACAAGCTTGTTGTGACATTAAATGAGGTACCATGTGCTGAGTGACTAATCCAGTGCCTCAGTGTGTAGTTAGGAGGTGTTCAATAAACCTATGTCTCCCCTCTTTTTATCCTGGAGCCTGTGGTAACAGACTCTAACCCACGGACACCCCCAGGTCCTCCTGACTCTGGCCTCACTTGCTATATTACTTTTTGAATGTAAAAATTAAACCTAAAATGTTAAACATTTAGATCATTTCCTGAGTCAGTGATCCTTTTTGTGAGCTGGCAGAGAGAAAATTACCTTGGCAACTTCTACTGCTATTTCAGTATGAGAAAGATTCTCAGTCAATGAGCAGCACTCTTTCTCAGTCTGGCTAATTTCCTTAACATTGCATTGGTGCTAATAACTTCCTATTTAAATTCTAGAATTTGAGACTAGTATCTCAACTCAGTAAGAACAGAAAAACTTCTGATCAACTGCTTACCAGATTTCCCTATTGTATATGGTATAATAATTTGTCACAGAATTGTTGTCTTGTTTGTTTGTTTAATTTATTAACTCAACCAATACATACCGAGACCCTGCTAAGTGCTTGACATAGACTAGATGCTGGAGTGACCATGACAAGTACGATGGACATAGTTCCTGCACTCACTCTTACACAGGCCAAGGTTAACCAGCCCGTTCCACTGGCAGAGAAGTGGCTTTCCTTCCCTACTACATTCCCAAGAGGTTTTTTACTTAGACAAAAATGCAACTTGTTTAAGATTCCTAGAATTGTTTAGAAATATGAACTAAAGGTTATTGCCATCTTTTCCCAGACGGCTTTCTCTTTAATTGAGGAACAGGAGCTGCTTTCTTTGTGTTTGTGTTTTTGATTATAAAAGTAACACATGTTTGCTTTAAAACATGTTAATCTGGTCTAAAATGGAATGCTTCTCCTCCTTGCTGGAGGAGAAGCTATTAAACTCTGGAATTTGATGTCTCTACTTCCAGACTCTTTTCTAAGCAGATACAAATACATGTCTATGCACACCCACCCCCGTGCCCCATGCACACACAATGTTTTGCTTGTTTTGTTTTTACAAAGATAATATCATATTCACATACTGTTCTGCTACTTGATGTTTTTTCATGGAGCAATGTCATGGATGTGCTATCATTTTACTATAGTAATCTACCTATGTTTTTAGTGGGTTATACAATGGCCATGGAATACATGAAATACAGTTGCTGAGTATTTTTTTAACCATTCTTCTACTGATAAGACTGTAGTGTATCCAATTTATTTCTATTAAAGGCAATTATTTAGCAAACGTTCTTGTCCATGTATAGTTTCACATTTGTGTGTGCTTATCTGTAGAATAGAATCCTGGAAGTAGAATTGCTAGGTCAAAGGGGTTGTGCATCTTAAACTTTGATAATGTGAAATTGCCTTTAAGAAAAATGACACCCGAGGCACCTGAGTGGCTCAGTCAGTTGATTGACCAACTTCAGCTCAGAACATCATTTCACGTTTGTGGTTTTGAACCCAGCATCAGGCTCTGTGCTGACAGCTCAGAGCCTGGAGCCTGCTTTGGATTCTGTGTCTCCCTCTCTCTCTCTCTGTCCCTCCCCTGCTCATGTTCTGGCTCTCAAAAAATAAAATAAAACATTAAAAAAATTTTTTTAAGAAAACAAAGATGACACCCTATTTAGATTCCCATCC